TTTAACAGTATATTTGAAACCAACGTTATTTAAAACAAATACATGTACGTACTTATCTGAAGTACGAAGTCTTAATCGTCCTAATTGACAGCAGTAATAATATGGATAAAGCGAAGAATGAAATAACCCTGAAAGACTTTGTGACATATCTTGGCCCTATAGAGCTTTGGAGTTCCCAAATCAAAGAGGCTGTTGTAAGTTTATCATTGGTTCTTAAATTTATGACATAAAACTTAGTCTTATAATGCTTAATTTATCAGGAGTTCTGTCTTGGGTCATCGTATGCTGTTACAATTTATGTTGGAGGCATAGATAATTTTATTTTTATGTACAATCGAAGTACGTACAAAATAATTTGTCTGCTCGTTAGTTATTCTCGTTAGTTATTGCGTATTTTCTAAATATCTAATTATATTTAATCAAGACTGTATAAAAAAGATACCAGTTATAAGATATAAGCATTCATCCGGTTAGTTATAGTCACACAGCTTTGCATTAACGAAAAAAATGGTCAAATTTCAATTGATATTTTAATATTAAATAGCATCTGCGTTTGGAAAAGCGTTTAAGGAATCTTTACCTAATACATATGACAATTTGAGAAAAGTTTATGAACTGTAAATATCATGAATTATATATTAAAAATTGTTTTTATTTATTATACGTAATAATTATTAAAATTTATTTATTAAAATTAAGTATTTTAAAGGGAGAAAGTGTATTTAGACGTGACGTTCCTAACCGAGATCCGATTGTTGACGATAATATTCTCGAACAACGCTACTACACTTATTCAATGTCTCCGATTCGCGAAAAGGATGGTAAAATTACTGCTATGTTGGGTGTGTGTGAGGATACAACTGATAAGTTTCTAAGAATAGAAAGAATAGTAATAAACACTCCTAATAATTTAACTCGTTAGTAAATTGTTTTAGTAAATCGTAACTATTTGTAATAAAACATTATTAACGCACATTTTTATTTCTACAATCTTACTCAGAACTTATCAAGGAGTTAACCGCTGAAAATCTACAAATAACTGAAATTAGGGAAGAAGAAAGTGAGAATTCTGAAAATTTGCTTCATTTATATAATAAGATCACCGATGCCGA